AGGTCTTCCTGATTCCAACTCTAGCGATCTTTTTGCTATAGCATGATGTCTTTCTGTTTTAGTAAAGAAATCAGAAGAAATATGAGAGCTGAGTAGTTCTATCTTGTTCCTATTTTTCCATTATCATTTATGTTTGTTGGATTTGTTGTTGAATCCTCCCTAAACAGAGGTGCTATCAATGCTCAGCCCTGCTATTTAGGATTCATCTCCTGCCTTACTACCTTCTGATCTTAGGAGGTCTCAGCCCTTTAAGCTAGTCAGCATGGTGTAATGGATAGGGCACTGGGCTTGGAATCAGGAAGACTTGGGTTCAAATCTCTACCTCAGATACTTACTAGCTGTGTGACTCTGGGGAAGTCATTTAACCTCCTTTGTGCCCCAGTTTCCTCATCCGTAAAATGAGAGAGGTTGGACTCAATAGCTTTTGAGGTCTCTTCCAGCTCTAAAACTATGATCTTTAAGACTCTACTTAATTCTGTCAGTTCCTGAGCATCCATACAGGTCTATTTAAACCAACCTTTTTGTGTTTAATTAGAAAGATTTGTTTTTGTGTTTTTAGAATTTTTTTTAAACCATTCTAGTCTTGTGGCATTTACTTTCCATATAGAATTTTAGGTCTTGGGATCCTACCTATCCTTTCTCTGAACCCTTTTGAAGTTTCTTCCTCTGTAAAATAATGCAGTCAAACTACATGACCTCTAATATTCCTTTCAACTACAGTCCCAAAATCTAAGCTGTGCCTTAGAGAAAGATGTCCTAAGCCATCATGAAATTTAAAATCATTTCTATTTTGGCAACAAGTTCCTCCTTTTTGGTCAGAATCAGATCTTTATCCTAAAGAATAAAATCAGCATCAAGAGTTTCCTATCACTATTATGCCATGTCTCTGTCTATTTCATGATCTCTTTCCCAGACTGATCATCCATTTCCTTCCTCTGTCAAAGTGGTTTGTAGTATACTTCCAGGACAAAAATCATTTCTATTTTTCTATTTTTAACACATTCAATTCAATTAAACAAACACAGACACAGTGTGGAATAGTAGACTGTAAGTTGCAGAATAGTTGCTGATCTGCATTGATAGTGGGGGTTCCCTAAACCAATGAAATCACAGGTAAACAAACAAAACAAACAAAATACAAAACAAACCATGCGGAAATACCTACTACCCCTAGGTCTTGTGCTAGGTTTGCTATACAAAGACAAAAACAAAATAGTCCCTCTCCTCTAGGTGCTTAAATTGTAATGGAGAAATACAACATGTATACAAAATAACTCTGTGTGTGTGTGTGTGTGTGTTCCCTGAGGAAACAGCACCTTAGCTGATACTTGAAGAAAGATACACAGAGGTTCGAGATCACAGAAATCAGGGAATAGCTCATAATTCAGTTGGGCTGGAATGTAGATATGCATTAGTCTATTCTAATAATAGCACTGTTTAATCACCTCTTTTGTCTATTCTTTTTGAATGAAGTGTATCTTTCTGTGTGAGAGGAAGTATGATGTAATGGAGAGCATGCTGGACCAAGAATCAGAAAAATCCCCTGGGTTCAAGACCTGTTTCTGATAGAGGTGATCTACTTGTTGCATTGTGACTGGCATGTCACTCACCCTCTTGGTGCCTAGGCAACTGGCTAAGACTACAAATAACAGAGTTGCCTGTCTACATTGACAAGTCCTCACACTGATAATTCATTGTACTGGTGAAATCACAGGTCCAGATCACCAAAAAAAACCAAAAAGCCCTTTAAATTCTTCATAACCATATTTCATTAATGAGTCATAAGATCACAGGACTTAGGGCCGGAAGGATCCCTAGAATTTTAGGGCTCATCTAATCTAACTCTCTTGTTTTACAGGTGAGGAAACAGGCTTGCAGAAGGGATATGATTGAACCTAACTAGGTGGCACAGTGGATAGAGCACCTGGCCTGGAGTCAGGAAGACCTGAGTTCAAATCCAACCTCAGACACTTACTAATTGTGTGACCCTGGGCAAGCTTCTTAACCTTGTCTGCCTCAGTTTCTTCATCTTTAAAAAGCTGGAGAAGGAAATGGCAAACCACTCTAGCATCTTTGCCAAGAAAACTCCAACTGGGGTCACAGAGAGTCAGACATACGTGAAATGACTGAATAACAACAACATCTCCTATCACAACTAACTTTAGTAGTATGTATGAAATTAATTTACCTGCATCTGTTAAGAGGAAGAAGAGTCATACAGTGGAAAGAATGGTGATTTGAAGTCAGGGCCTGGGTTTGAATCTTAACTCTCCCATTTACTACCTCTGTGTCCTTGAGCAAGTCACTTAACTTCTCTAGGACTCAGTTTCCTCACCTGTCAAACAAAGGGGTTGGACTAGATCCTGGTTCAAAATCTATGATCCTTTGATCATTCATTTTATTTATTATCCATATTTTGCACATTTGTGTAAAGATATGAACAGCCATGAGTTTTATTACTACCCTTCCTCTTGAAGATCATCTCTGAAGAGTCATGTTCTCCACTGAGGTTTCCACCAGATAGCCACGCCATGTCCTTTTTACTTTTATTTTTTTGTTTTATTTTATTTTTTTATTTTTAGGCAATTGGGGTTAAGTGACTTGCCCAGGGTCACACAGCTAGTAATTATCAAGTGTTTGGTCTGAGGCCAGATTTGAACGCAGGTCCTTCTGACTTCAGGGCCGGTGCTGTATCCACGTCGCCACCTAGCTGCCCCCACTCCACGTTCTTTGAAGTTCAGAGCATGCTCTCTGCTGAGGCAGAACCTCAAGTCTACTTCTTGCCTACCCACTACTTCCCAAGTCCTTGTCATGCATACCTTGCCATACCACAGATCACATAGGAACCCAAGGGCAATAGCCCTGATTTACCTTATTTTACCTGATCTACCTTACGGGATGTTCTGTTTTGGAGAAAGACTCAGTTCAAATCAACACTTAAGCAGAACACGAAGGGAAACATGAAGTTCTGAGATGATCCCTGCTCTCACAAATAGCTGTCTTTTACATAGTACTTTATAACTAAGAAGCACTTGTTTTCAATCATTTAATTTGATCTTCACAACAATCCCGTGATATAGGTAAAACATTATTTTCATTTTTCAGATGAGGAAACTGAGGCTCAGGGAGGTTTAACTCATCCAAGGTCACAGTTACTAAACAGCAGACTCACAATCAGAGCTCAGATTGTTTTTGTTTGTTTGTTTGTTTTTTTAACTCCAAATGACTGAATTCACAATATCGTAGAAGATATGACACACAGAGAAACAACGAAATAAACTAATACCTAATAGCAGCAATTCAGTATAAGAGGGCTGGATTTGGAGTTAGGAAAGATTTGGGTTAGAAGCCCATCTCTGACACTAGGATTAGTCTCAGTTTCCTCCTCTATAAATCGGGGATAATAATTCTTGTCTTGAGTAATTCCCTGGATTGTTGTAGGGGTCCTTCACTGTAAACCTGAAAGGGTTATAGAAATGAGTTACTATAAGGATAGAAAGAGAGATGCATCTAAAGTGTTGTATGAGACCTTGAGAGGGGATCAGGGAAAGCTTTCTGGAAGAGGCAGCATTTGAAATAGGCTTTCTTTAATCAAGGAACAGACATGGGGTGGGGGGGAGTGTCAGGGAATGTGGTTTAGGTTGAGTCTCTGAACTGGGAAGCAGTAGAGAGGTGGTGGATTTGTTAGTTTGCTGGACATTTGAATAGTCCAATTTGGCTGCAGTACAGAGTAAGTAGAGGGGTGTCATGTAAGGCTTGGGAAAGAAAAACCAGCAGGAAGAGGGGGGAGGCAGGAGGGATTTAAATGCCAGTTAAGGAGTTTGAACTTTACTGGGTAGGTAATCAAGAACCATTACAGATTTTTGAGACAAGAGTACCGTGAACAGATCTATGAGTTTAAAAAAAACCCCAACAAACCACCACAACCTATTCTGGTGGCAGTATGAAGGAAGGATCGGAAGAGTGGAAGAGACCTGGAAGATCTCCTTGTAGGCTAGGTGATGACAGCAGTGGGAATAGAGGATGGGACGGAGGTAAGATGAACTTGGTGACTGGGTGGGTAAAGAGAAAGGCTGGAGAAGAAAGAATCAAATACAACAGCATCTGTGAAGCTGAGAGCATTTCAGAGGTTAGTAAGCCTGTTACTGGTTAATACTGGAGAGCCTGGTTGGTAATGTTGGTGACCAGTGTTAACTGACATGTGTAAATCGGTTATCTTCCTTTCTGTAAGCCTGCACTTTCAATCCACAAACCCACGTAGACAGCTAGAAGATGTGGGGAGGGGAAGGGGAGAGACAGACAGGGACAGAGGCAGACAGACACACACACACACACACACACAGATAGAGAGGCACAGAGAGAGAGCACTCTGCGTTCTCCCATCGGATCATAGGCTTAGAGTGAGAAGATACCTTAGAAGCCGTGTACGTCCTCATTTAAGAGAGGAGGGAACTGCGGCCCAGTTAAATTCAGTGATTTGCCCAAGGCCACACTGGTACAGGTTCTAGGGTTCCAGTTCCAGTGCTTTTTGCATTCAATGTAGCTCCTTTATGAATCCAGTTCTCTCCTGGCCTCCCTCCTCTCCTTTATTGGAAGGCTCAATAATTAAACTGAGGAGTTTGGGAGGGCTGGGAGACACGGGCTGATGGAGGAGGGAGGATGGAGAAGGGAATTCGCCATGTGCCCTAATTACCCAGCCATCACCACTTAGAAAATGGAGCAGCTTTTTTGCTCCTCGTGGAACTACAATTCCCAGGGACCCCAACTTAGGACATGCGCAGAAATTTGCCGGACCAGGAAGCCCGGAAGCCATGACTCCAACGCCCAAGGTGCACCTCGGCGTTCCGGTCTCACCACTTCTTCCTCAACTACTGCTCCCGACATGCTGAGCAGCAGTGTACTACAACTACCAGCATGCCTAGAGCCCCGATCTTCCTTTCCCGCGCCGGCCAACATTTCCCAGAAAGCCAAGCGGCTCAGTTTTGTCGTCCCACGTGCGAAAGTGAGAGGCGGAGTCGGAACTGACTGTACCCCAGGAGCTGGAGTTGAGGCGATCTGAGATTTGTACTGGAGGCGGAACTTGTTCCTTTCACCTTCTGTAGGAACTTGGTTTACCTTTGGGAAAAGGGTGCTTGCCCCCCGGGATATCAGGGTAAGGTGCTTGGAGATCTTGAGCCTGGGGTGCTGAGTGTGCCAGGATGAGGAAGGGTCATCCAGACTTTGACAGACATCTGACAGCAGGAGGCTGGAGGGAAGGGGACATTGGGAGGCGACAAGGTCTTTCCTTCCTTCCCTCCCCCTTCCTATTGCCTGGCGCTTATCTGGACGGAGGCCGGGGGAGGGACTCGATGACCTAGGGAAAGCCTTCCCCCGGCCCCCTCCTCTGCGGGTTTGTTGGGAGGAGGGGGCTGTCCCAGAAATAGTTCGTTCTCCCGTGGAAGTCTTTACAGGGAGCTTGGAGGGCTCTTGTCGAGACAGTTGTGGGTATTCAGGTAATAGGATGGTAGCTTTGGAGCTGGTAGGGAACTCGGAGGCCATCTAGTCCAACCCTTACATTAGTGAGTGTGAAGCCAGGGGCTGCCGTGACATACAGGAATACGGACATCAGAATCACAGAATTTTAAGGTTGGAACGGAAGGAATTAAAGGAAACAAGTCTTTATGAAACACATACTATGTTGCAGGCACCGGTTTAAGCGATTTACAAGTATCTCATTTGATCCTCACAACAACCCTGGGAAGTAGGTGCTACTATTATCCTCATTTTACAGTTGGGGAAACGGAGGCACAGATTAAGTGACTTGCCCAGCGTCTGAGGTTGGATTTGAACTTGAGTCTTCCTGATTCCATGTCTATGGCTCTAAGAGAACTCGGCCTGTCTACCCCAAAACATATTCTGTCCTGGTCACACTATATCTGGAGTATTGTGTTCAGTTCTGGCAGACATATTTTAAAAACATTAATAAGCTGAAGATCCCTCAGAGGAAGGCCTTTCATTGGGAAACTGATTGGAGGAGTTGGGGATTTAGCCTGGAGAAGAGAAAGCTCAGATGGGACTCTTAAAGTCCTTCAAAGGCTAAAAGATGGGATTACACTTGTTCTGTTTGGCCCTAGAGACAAAATCCAAGCTTCGAGTGGAAGGTGCAAAGAAACACATTTTGGCTTAATGTAGTCCAAAAAACTGCCCTCCTAATAGAGCTATCCAGAAGTGGAGTAGGCTGCCATTTGTAGCAGCAGGTTACCCCTCATTTGATGTCTTGAAGTAAAGATGTGGCTACTCAGTTACTAGGTGTACTGTAGGATCATAAACCCAAGAGCTAGAAGGGTTGTCATAGATGTCATCTAATATAACTCCTTTGTTTTACAGTGGAGGAAATGGAGGGCCTTAGAGGTTAAGAGACTTGCCCAGGGTCACATCTGAGGCAGGATTTGAATGGTGGCACAGTGGCTAGAGTGCCAAATCTGAAGTCAGCAAGCCTTATTTTCCTGAGTTAAAATGTGGCCTCAGACACTAGCTTTGTGATGCTGAGCAAGTCACTTAATCCTGTTTGCCTTAGTTTCCTCATCTGTAAAATGAACTGGAGAAGGAAATGACAAATCACTCCAGTATCTCTGCCAGGAATACTCCAAATGGAGTCACAAAAGAGTCAGACATGACTGAAAAGCCTAAATTATTACTACTGCTACTACTACTACTACCCTTCTGATTACAGGCCTAGTACTCCCACATACTGGATTCCTTTTCTGTTACAGGATGGAGTAGTTCAGAGGATTCAAGTATGAGGCCCACAGCACTCCCAAGTACAACCCGAACCAGATTAAAATGTAATTGGAAAATATTTAACTAAATAAAAATACAGTGAAACAGATAATATATTTTAAAACCAAGTCGATATGTGACCTATAGAGATTCTTGTGTATGGTTTAGTGGCCTAGGTTTCTATTTGAGTTTGACACTTCTGGACTAGATTACCTCTGAGGTTCTTTCCAGCTCTCACATTTAGGACCTTCATCTACTCACCCCTAGACAATTAAATAGCCTGTTGGTTGATCTGCGTGCCACAAGTCATTCCCCATTCTAGTCCATCCTCCATTCAGCCACCAAAGCAATTTTCTTAAATCATAGGTCTGACCATTAACCTCCCCCCTCCAAAAACAAAAACAAACAAACAAACAAAAAAAACAACAAAAAACTTTGGAGGCTTCCTCTTACTTCTGGGAGGGGAAAACCATCAGGATTTCTGGCAAAAACTTAAACAATTGCTATTTACATTCGCTCTGAGCCAATCTGGGCCCAAACAATGACCAAGTGGGGCTTGGCCTGGGACCTGTTGGCCAATCAATGAGAGCTGGAGGGATTTGGGTTTAAGGTACAGTCCTTAAGAAAGAAATCTAGCTGGTAAACCTCAAGATATCTTTCAATGTTTCAGCTATCAAAATTTACATTCCTTTGGCAGAGCATGTGCAGGTAAGGGTATGATACCCTATGTGGTCAGAGGTAAGGGGAAGGGAGGGAGGGAAGAAGGAAGGAAGGAGGACTTATGTTGCCCACCTGGCCAGTTCCAGTTGGGTCCCCAGTGAGTTAGCTCCTACTACTATTCACAGAAGTTGTTTGTCCTTCATTCTCGAAGAGGACCATGACATCAGGGAGGTGATGCCATGACATGCAAGTGAATTGGATTTAATGAGGGAGGGCTGTGCAAAGTCACCAGCCTCACTTTCTTTCCTCCAGAGCCATCTGGGTCCAGTGAAAAGATACAGATCAGGAAGACTGGAGATGGCTCTGGATGCAGTGGAAGACCCTGATTTTCACTGATTGGCCAACAATAGGTCCCAGGCCAAGCCTTACTTGGTCATTGTTTGGGCCCTGATTGGTTCAGAGTGAATGTAAATAGCAATTGTTTCTGTTTTGGCCCCTCCCAAATTGTTGGGTTTTTTTTTTTCTTTTTTGACTAGGTAAACGAAGCCATTCTCTGCCTCATTTCTTACTTAGCCTTAATCACTGAATGGGTGTTGCCTCAGTCAAACTTGAGACCTGTTAAAAACTTTAGCTGAAAAAGGCTTGCACTGCATCCAGGGCCATCTCCAATTGTCATGATCTATATTGTGCCACTGGACTCAGATGGCTCAGGAGGAAAAAGTGAGGCTGATGATTTTACACAGCCTTCCCTCACTTCAGTCCACTTCACCTGCATGTTATGGCTTCAACTCCCTGATGTCATGATCCTCCTCAAGAACTAAGGACAAATAACAAGGATCAAATACAAAATTGTATCCGTCATTCAAAATCTATCATAGCCTAGCCTGTCTTCATCTTACACCAACCCCTGCCCCCATGTACTCTTTAATCTGTGACACTGACCTCTTTGCTGTTCCTTAAACAAGACACCCATCTCTTAACGCCATTTTTTCTTCCTCTTTCCAATGCCTTCAGTGTTCTTCCTCATTTGAGCCTCCTAAATTCCTTCAAATAAAAGCTAAAATCTCACCTACAGGAAGCCTTTCTCAGTCCCTCTTAATTCTAGTGCTTTTATTTCCTGTTTTTCCTTGTTTGTGCATAGTTGTTTACATGTTATCTCCTCCTAGACTGGGATCTGTTTGAAGGTTTTGGCTTTCTTTGTATCCTCAGCACTTAGTACAGGGCCTAGCACACAGTAAGTGCTTAATAAATGATTGAGTCTGTGACAGTTTTCTTCAGGTATTTGAAGATTATATAGAAAGAGGTCAGATTCAGATGACAGACTAGAAGCACTGGGTAAGTTACTGGGCATAGTTCAGCTCATTAAAAAAAAAAAAACGAGCTATTTGAAAATGGCAGATGTCTCAGGAAATGTAGTGAATTTCCAATCTTTGGAAGATAGTGACTGGTTGATCATTTGTTGGAAGCTTTTGAGGAGCAGGGCGACCTGCATGGAATAGGAGATTAGATGATCTCTCTGATGCCTTCTAGCCGAGATCCCGGGGTTTCTTCTGGGCTAGAGACAACTTTTTGTCTTGTCAGCTTTCACCTCCCTTTTGGTTCCCTCTACCTCATGGGTCCCTGGGTTGATTGATGCTATTTCTGGTGTGGACAATTAATTGACATTAGTGTTCAATTCTCATCTCCCTTCACCTACATACTATCTTCCCAGCCTCCAGATATGCGTCTCTCAGCCTTGCTAGCCCTGGCAGCCAAGGCCAACTTGCCTCGTAACTACCGCTACGGAATGAGCCGACCTGGATCTATGGCTGACAAGAGGAGAAACCCTCCCTGGAGAAGACAACGTCCAGTCCTTGTGGAGCCTATACCTGAGGATTCCTGGAATGTGTTTTGTGGGGACACGGTGAGGGATGCAGGGCTGACAGATATGGATGTTGGGGCAAAGGAGAAAATGGGCCTGAGGTTCTTCTCCTAACACTGTGTACCTACAGGTCGAGATCTTGGAAGGCAAAGATGCTGGGAAGCAGGGAAAAGTGGTTCAGATCATCAGGGAGAGGAACTGGGTTGTCTTAGAAGGACTGAACACAGTAAGTAGTGGGGACTGGGACCTTCATATTTCTGTTAGCCTCACTTTCTTGCCTCCCTCTCTGCCAAAAATCAATCACTGATAATAGCAAAGAGAGGGATTGAGGGCTGGACACTCTCTCAGTTTAAATCCCCTTGATGATCTTTGGGAGAGATGGGAGGGGCTTCCTTATATCTGTTTCTGACTTCTCTCACCTTTCTCCTCACAGCATTTCCGATACATTGGCAGGAGCAAGGATTACCGGGGAACCATGATCCCCAGCGAGGCCCCCCTGCTTTTCCGTCAAGTCAAGCTTGTGGATCCAACTGACAGGCAAGAGGGCAGGACATTGACCTTCTGGAGGATCATGAGGGCTGGCACCTGGACTTTCTCGGTGGTGAAAAGGACAGAAAACTGGACTTAAGAAGTCAGGAAAACCTGATTTTTGAATCCTGCTCCAGGCACTTGCTTGCTGTGTGACCCTAAGCAAGCCCTTCATCATCTCTGTGCCTTAGGCTCATCTGTAAAATGAGTAGCCTTTATGGCCAATTTTCATATCTCAATCAAAATGATCATTGTGGGGTTGGACTGAAACAGAACCTCAGGAAATGCTGCCTAGCCTAGGGCAGGGGTGCCATTTTGGAGAATAAGAAGAGAAATAGGTTAGCTTTATAGCAGGAGAATGTTTAGATGTCACACAGAATTTCCTTGGAATCAGAAGAATTCAGTCTTTTACATCCTGAGAAGTTGATTCTTTGTGGTGGAGAAACGATGTGGGGCCATTCAAATTTGGTTCACTCTCCTTCCCTGCAGGAAGCCAACTGAAGTGGAATGGAGGTTTACGGAGGAAGGTGAGCGTGTACGAGTCTCCCTGAGGACAGGGAGAATCATCCCAAAGCCAGAGTTCCCCAGACCTGATGGCATCATCCCTGAGCAGTGGATTGGTAAGTCAGATTATACAGAAGAGAGAACTTAACAAGGATGGGTGGCTTTTCATACAAGGAGTCTTTTGGGGTAGGTCTTGAGGTGTCACTGGTATAGACATGGCATTTGTGTTGGTGATCATTAGTTATGTAAAAGGCAGTAATATGGAAGAAAGGATATCTGTTTGGCTCCAGAGGACAGAATTAGAAGGAGCAAGTGGAATTTGGAGAGACTGATGATATATTATCTTAGAAGACTGGGAGACCCCTTCCAGTTAGGTGGTGGTAGGTGGTACACTGGGTCTGAAGTCAGAAAGCCCTGTGTGATCCTCGGCAAGTCTCTTAACCCCTTTCTGCCTGTTTCCTCAACTCTAAAATAATAACACCTACCTCATAGAGTTGTTGTAAATTAAATGTATGTTAAGCTTTTAGCATAGTGCCTGGCACATAGTAGGCACTTAATAAATGCTTATCCTTCCCTTTCCTCCTCTTGCTTCTCTGTCTTTATGATCCTAAGAAACATGCAGAGTTAGGGATTGGGGGGAATCAGTGAGCATGGAACGAAGGATCTAGGGCAGCGCCTATAGGTGGGTTGGTGGAGGAATGAGTCTTGTTCTGCTCGGTCTCAGAGAGCAGAGCCAGGAGCAGTGGTGGGCATTTCCAGAGGCAGATTTTAATTCAATATGAAGAAAGCCTCCCAACTATTAGCTGTGTTCAAAAGTAGGATGGCCTGCCACTGTGGGTAGTGAGGCAGCTGAGCACTTGTAATGGATACTGTAGGAATGATTTATGCCCAGGTACAGGTTAGACTGGGCTATACAGCTTCTAAGCCTCCTTCCAACTCTGAGATTCAGCAATTTGTGTATCCCTAATGCAACCACCTTGGCTCTACAGATGGCCCCAAAGATACATCAGTGGAAGATGCTCTGGAGAGAACTTACGTCCCCTGTTTGAAGACCCTGGGAGAAGAAGTGATGGAGGCAATGGGGATCGTGGAGACTCGGAGGCACAGGAAAGTCTACTGGTATTAAAGCTACAGAGGAGACAGTCTTGTTCCCACCACTGCCTCCCCCGCAGATCATGACCGTGGGTGTCTGAGGAATTGCTCTCTTTACTGTTGTCTAATAAAGATAAGGATTTTCTGAGGAATGTGTAGATCTCTGTCTTGTAGGAAGAATAAAGGAACCTGGCTAAACTGAATTTCACCAGTGATGCAATGATGCTGTACTGGAATAGTCAGAGGTTAAACATTATGAAGTCCTTTCAGACTCTCAGGAATGAGAAATGGCATGAGGTTTTGTGTGTAGGTTTGTCTTTTTCCTTTCCCCAGGGCCACTTGGTATGGGGGCAAGGAGGATCAGAATATTAGGCCAATTTTATTTATTTCATAGGTGAGAAAACAGGACCAGAAAGGGGAGATGACTGGACAAGGTCCTTCACCTCAGTGGGCCTCTTTCACTATTTTTCAAATAAGGGGGTTAGACTGAACCATCATTCAGGTACCTTACAGTTCTAAATTCTATAATTTGAGGACTCCTTTGTGACTCCACCAGGAGGGCAGAAAGAGGCAGGTCAGCTTTGCCAGTGGATGGCAGTGGGTGAGGGGGCAGGAGTGATGGAGGACTTAACCTAATGGGGCATCTGTGAAATACACCAAAGAGACCTGGGTGGCAAGGTATCCTCAAGATTTACCCTTTAGGGCAGCTAGGTGGTGCAGTAGATAGAGCACTGGCCCTGAGGCCAGGAGGACTGAGTTCAAATCTGTCCTTAGACACTAGCTGTGTGACCCTGGGCAAGTCACTTAATCCTGATTGCCTTCCAAAACAACAACAACAACAAAGATCTACCCTTTGCTCATACGGCATTCAGAGAAATAACAGGCAGGAAGGATTTAATTTTTTTAAATGATTTTTAGAAGGCCATTTTTAATATAACAGGTAGAAAAAAAGTCCGAGGTCCAAGAAGAGTATGGTTAGGGATAGGCCAAAGGTAAAAAGATGTGGTTCCCTAAGTGAGAGATGATTAGCTCGAGGGCCCTCATCTCTGTCGTGGTCTCATGTATGGTCTTTGGGAACTTGGAAGTTTTAAAGGGTCTTGAGGCCTCCCTTCTTACAACACTGTCAGCTTTCCTCTATTTCCAGGTCAGAAAGTGCTGGGCCCAATGGGGTCTTAGTGGCCACCAAGACCAAATTTCGAGGAGATAGTTCAGGCCTGAAGACAGGGAGGAGTTCTGCATGGCAACCTGAGGTGGGAAGAAGGGAAGGAGGCTTAAGATGTTAGAAGCTGCTCCTCCTTCAACTCTGCCCTTGGGTCCCCACCCCTGAAGCTTCTCCAGTGGAGAGATCTTTTGAGTACCTCTTGGTTCCCTGGCATTAGAAAGCAGTAGAGAGTAAGGGTGTAGACATTCTTGATTCTATGCCCTCTCTGCTGGGGCACTAACCTGACCCCTTTCCACATCACGCTGTGCCTTCACTCCATTTGTGCTGGGACTCACCTTGCTCCTGTAGGAAAAGCAGCCGATCCAGTAGGATTAGTGTCTCTACCAGTGGTGCCAGGAGCAGTGCCAGGCTGAAGAATGCCACCACCCGATGTTCCTGTGCCATGCAGGCATGCAGGGAGGCCAGGTCCAGGGGCAGCCCAGGGTCCAATCCCACCCGCTGTAGCCCTAGCTGTATGTACCTGCAGGGCAGTGAGTGGCAACAAGAGCATTTTAGGGTAGTGGAGATTCCCCTACTGGAAGCGTTCTGAGATGGAACCCTCCATCATAAGTTCCTTCCAGATTCTACTTTAAAGAATTATAGGCCAAGGTCTGGAGTAAGACTTCTAGCTTGCATGCTTGGAGACATCTCCACCTTCCCAACCCCTTTACTGAGGTGCCTCTCTCCCTTCCCATCCATGCATCCCCATTCCTTACTCTTCCAAGGGCAGCTCATGGGCCCTTGGGATGCTTTGCACCCCAGGTCTGCAGAGCCCTGGCTGGGCAGCCCGGATCACCGTCTCTAGTGCTGCTCGGTAGCAGTGGGTGCGGAGGCTGGGGCTTGCTCCCCGAAGCCGTTCTGCGTACTCTTCCAGAGCATGGCAGGCACCCTCTCGGAACTTGTAGGGCAGCCTGTGGTCCTGCAGCCCACCAACCCAGTGGCTTAGGGGGTAGCCCCCAGGGGTGGTCAGCTTCATGTAGCAGCAGCCCACAGATGCCAAGGCCACTGCCTCGGGGCAGCAGGCAAAGTGCTGCAACAGAGTCACACTTAGGTCCCCACAGGCATGGAGGCCAGTCAGGAGCAGGCGTCGAGCAGGAGCCTGAGCTGCCTCTGACTTCAGGGGAGACAGGAGCTCCTGAGACAAGGCAGTTGGGTCTACCCAGCTAACGACATGATTTGGGGGGCGGTGAGGGACAGCTGATATGATCTGTGGGGGAAGGAAAGAACCAGCACTTAACACAGTGCCTAGCATATAGCAAACACTTAATAAATGCTTATTGACTTGAGTTACAGGGGCCTAAATTCAGTAGTACCTAGCCTCTAAAGGATCGCAGAGTTTGGGCTGGAAAGAACATTATCCTGGAGATAACCAAGTTCAACTCCTTAATTTGTACTGGTGACGAAACACCCCAGAAAAGAGAAGTGACCTCTCTGTCACAATCAATAAGAGGCAGGGCTGAGATTTGAATTCCGATTTTACAACTGCAAAGAGAGCATTCTTTCCACTTGGACAGAAATAAGAAGGCATCACATTGTCTTCCTTCTACATACCTCTAATCAGGTTAGTACTTTGCTCACTATCACCTATTTCCAAAAGTTCACAATCCTTTGGTACAAAGGGTCCTTCCCAGTCTGGTACCATCCTACCTTTTTAGTATTCTCTTATACTGTTCTCTTCCAGGTCCCTTAACAATCCCATGAATGTTCTTTCTTTCATTCTTGTTATTAAATTCCTACCCCTTTAAGTCAACAAGCCCAATTCAGGTAGGAAGCCGTTTTTGACCACCTCCTCCACCCACCCATCTTGGACTTTACCTAGCAATCTATTTCAAACCTTTCTGATGCAGTTATTAAGTACCATAGTACTGTGTATTTCTCTTTTCTTCCATTAGTTTGTAAGTTCCCCAGGGCTGGGAGGGCCCTGCTTTATCTATCTAACATTACCACTCCCCCACCCCCATGCCTAGCACTATGCTTGGCATTACTAAGTACCTGTTAAGTAGGTAGCACTCTCTGTGTCTCTGTCTCAAACTCCCTTTCTTTCCTCTGCTGTCATAATCTGCACAGGCCCACCAGGGGTTGTGGTAATCAGGGGCTAGGGATGAGATAGTGTGGAGTCAGGATCCTTCTCCCCCAGGGTCAAGGGTGGGGGTAACAGATTGGAGCAGGTCAGGCCTGTCCTGAGGAGAAAGTCTAAAATTATTTGATTCTGACAGCAGGGAAGAAGAGATACAGATATGTGTCTTTCTGGCCCAAGTCTTTGGAATTGATGGAAGAACCCCCAATAGGAAACCTATTCCAGGAATTTTTGGGAGTAACTGTTATAACCCCTGCTATAAATGCTGTTAAGTACCATGAGTTTTATTATGTATTGACAGGCCCTCTCCCAAGAAGAGAAGCTTTCCACTCTATCCTTCCCAAGGTCAGAGATGTAAGCAGAGCTATGCAAAAGACAGGATGGAAACTGAGGCAGGGAGCCCAGACCTTGTAAGTGAGACAGCTCAAGTGGGAGAAGGTCATTTCAGGATCGAAAGAGCCTTGCATAGTTCTCTCAACCATATTCTTGGGGAACGAGTCTTACCTGTGGTTTCCTCCGTTCTTCCTTCTTCAGGATACTAAGGAGTTCCTGGTCCAGATGCCGGGCTCTCTCCACCAGTCTCCTATCCTTTTCAATGCCAGTCACAGAGAGCCCCAGCCCCAAGGCCAGGAATCGGGTGAGATGACCCTGCAGTCATGAGGGTAGGGGTCAGAATATGTCTCAGTTGTCCTTTTTACCCTTTCCACCAGGGGCTCAGAGGCCTAAGATCACATCAGAAAGTATGGGGACTCAGGCATCCCTGTCTCCTCAATCCTATCTCTTGGACATTCCCCCTTTCCTACTGCAGTTCAAATCCTTTTCTTCATCTTTTCTCCAACTTTGTACCTATGGTAACATGCCCTTATCTCCCTCTTTCCTCAAACCCAGAATGGACCTTGGGTGAACTACCTCCCAAATTCTACCTAATAACTTGGAGGTGTCTCACCAACAGAGATAAGGGTAATAGATCTGGGAAAGACTGGTAAGAACTCACCTGGCCAGAGCCTACATCCACCACCTGGTTGCAGCCTGTAAGATCACTCAGTTTCTTTACCAGCTGGGGGAGAGGATTTGAAAATAGAACAAAGATCTCTCAGCTACTGGCTCCTGCTCACTAGGCAGAAGCCAGTGACTGAAGGTAGAGAGGATAAGAGGAATCTGCCAGATGAAAGGATCAGTATAGAAAGCCAGGAAACCCAGAAACTATAGCAGGGGGTCAGGTGGGGAAGAATGTGAGAAAGAGTAGGAAGCAGGTCCCTACTCTTCTTGGAGAACAGAACCTGGCTTGACCTGCCCCAACCTGTTCACTTTCTCCCTGGATCATGGAGTGAAGGAGCCTATCCCCATATCCCCTCCCCGCCCCTATCTCCCCACAAATTCCACAAGCCTTAGGGGCTATGGATGTGACAAAAGGACAGAGCTGGAGACAAATATAAAGAATGCTACACAGACACATCCAGAGAGGTAGATATCAACCAAGATGGAAAGGGAAAAACAGAAACAAACTCAGAGAAAGATGGCAACTAGAGAGAAGAGAAACATGGGGGGTTGGGGTAGGGGGGGATTGTGGCCTTGGAGTCCTTGGGAGGGCAGAGATCTCCACATTTCCCTCCTCTGCCCTCACCAACCCTACCTCCACCATTCTTCCCTCAGTCCTCCCTTCTCATTCCCAGGCCATTCCTCACCTCTCCTAGTCGCCTTATCTCATGCTGTTTCTTGGGCTTGACGTGTTTCCGGAATTGGGCCGCCAGCCGGGAGCTTTGGCTGGGGTTCTCCTGGAACTCAGATGGGCCCAGGGACTCAGTTGTCCGGGTAAAGGCCAAGGCACGGGCAGTAGTCTTCAGGGCCAAAAGGGTCAGTGGCCACACTGTTCTGTACCTGAGATAGCCCAGGCCCTCCTGTGAATGTTCCCACTACAACCAGAACAGAACTTGACTACAAAATAAGGTGTTCATGAAATCTTTGGGCAATTTTACCTCCAAATGACCCTGGCCATGAATTTATAGATGGTTACATGAAATTAATTCTTGATAATTTTTGTTTACGTGGAAACCACTCCCATACCTGATCTCTTCTCCGGCACTAGGCATCTCAAGTAGCATCGTAGCAATTTGGGGTGGGGTCAGCCCATCTAGGACTTCTTGCCATGAGCTGGGGAGCTTCTCCCACAAGGAGTCTGTAAAAAACTCCTATGGAGTAAGAGAAAACTAGTCAGTAGCTGCACACTGCTGAGGGCCCCCTAAACTGTCTATCACCACTTCTCCCTCATGCCCCAGACAGGGCATGTATGTTTCCAGGAACTTTGGGTCATAATACTTAAAGATGGAAGGGCAGTTAGAGGTCTTCTTCCCTTCTACTCTACTTTTTCCCCTTGTTTTAAAGATGGAAAAAAGGAAATTTCGGGGCAGCTAGGTGGCACAATGGATAGAGTACCGACCCTGGATTCAGGAGGACCTGAGTTCAGATCCGGCCTCAGACACATAACACTTACTGTGTGACCCTGGGCAAGTCACTTAACCCCCATTGCCCAACCGAAAGGAAAAAAAAAAAAAGGAAATTTGGAGGGCTTCCTGATATGAGAAATGAAAATTGGACCAGATGATCTTGAAGTTATTTTTCATCCAGATCCTAGGAACATGAGTAGTTAACTGACTTTCCCAAGGTCATAAAGGGCCAGGATTTGAATCCATGAATGCCTCTCATTTGTACCTGCAATTTTATTATTTAAGCATTAGTTGGAAGCACATGCAAAGCGAGAATGGACAAATGAAATCCATAAATATCCTAAAAATACATACTTTGCATTACCATCCATTCCTTCTTCCATACACATATCCCCCCATTCTTGCCCTTAAACTGCTCCAACCCCCAGCCTTATTTACAATGATATAGGCATCCAGGATGAATCCATAGAGGGGAAGAACACGGGTCAGGTCCACAGCTAGCTGTCGCCTTCCCTCTAAAGAGAGGTTTCTGGCAGTAAGGCCAGGCATCCTGAAGACCTACAGAGAGAGCAGACAGAAGAACTCCAGATGAGACCGTTCCTGCCTCTAATTGAGGTTGTACCTAATATGAAAAAGATCTGTGGGATTTAGTGGGCTTAGGCTACAGTGACAGGCATGTATCCAAGAATAACGTACCTAGTCCTGGTCAGACCATTCCTGGGTACTGTGTTCAGTTTTGAAGCAACCTATTTTAGGAAAGAATTGATGAGCTGGCAAGTGTCCAGAGGAGGCAGGCCAGGAGAGTGCAGGATCTTGAAGATGTTTAGCTAAGAAAAGTACTGGGAGGATCTAACAGCTAACAGCTAACAACACCAATCTGAATGGCTACCACGGAGGAGGGACTGGCCCCAGAAAGCAGACCTTGGAACAATGCGTAGAAGCTGCAGAGAATTAGACTGAGATTTAATATAAGCAACGATTTAATGACAGAACTATCAAAATATGGAATGGGCTCCTTCAGGAGGCAATGGGGTTTCTCATCACTAAAAGTCTTCCACATGGGCTAGATGAACACTAATTCAGGGTATAGCCCTGTGGAATCTTGTTTGGGTTTGCACTAGACAACCTCTGAGGTCTCTTCTGTGATCCCTAATGAGCAAGGCTTTGACCACTGGCCCTTGTGACAAAGAGGGCCTTGGAGACATCAGGGACCTGTATCCTATTTCTTTAAATCCTACTACCTCTAGACCATGAGGAAAGAGTTAGGATCATCGAATGTCAAAAGTCAGAAAGAATCTTGGACACCATGTACTTCAACCTTTTCCTTTAAAGATGGGGAAACTGGCACCTAGAGTGGTGTTTCCATCTCATGTTCTGCCTGTCTTCCCCCAGAGACCAGATTTTTAGGTGCTTATAATTGGTTCTAGCAATAATATTAATAATCACTAGTACTGATACATCACTTTAAGGTTTGCAAAGCACTTTATAAATACTATTTCATTTGATCCTTACAACACCCTTGGAAATAGATAAAATTATCCCCATTTTAGAGATGAGGAAGTTGAGGCAGACAGATTTAATCGCTTGCCCAGGGTCACATAGCTAGTAAGCATCTGCAGCTAGATTTGAGCTGAGGGCTTTCTGCATTCAGATCCAGCTCTACATCTGCTTTGCCATCTAGCTGCCTAGATTTTAAAGAGAGAGGGGGCACAGCTAGAACATCAGTAAGAAAGAGGAAAAGATCTTTATATTTACAGCAGCTTTTTTTTTTAAGAACTGGAAACTACATAGGTGCCCATCACTTGGGGAATGGCTATATGAATTACGGCATATAAATATAACAACACTATTGTGCTGAAGGAAATGAAAAGATGATTTCAGAGATTCCTGGGAGGACCTGTAGGAAATGATAGAGAGTCAAGGGAGCAGAACCAAAACACTTTATGATATAACATCAATACTATAAAAAATGAAACATTCTGAAAATCTTAAGATAACTCTAATCAACAATCAACCATGATTTCAGAGGAATGATGAATGCTGTGCACAACTTGACAGATGATGGACTGACATGCAGAACAAAAAAATAATTCTTTGATGTGGCAAATTATTTTGTTTGACTATGCTTCTATGAGACAATGGCTCTTTGTTTCTTTCTTTTTTTCTATCTTTCCAGTGGTTGGGAGGAGGTGGGAGAAAAAAACAAAACTAAATGATAATTTTTTTTAAATGAATGAAAAAAAGCACAGAAAAGAAGGAAGGCTATATTTATAAAGCACCTGCTATGTACCAGGTGCTTTACAAATATCACATTTAAGACTCACAACGGGGGTAGCTAGGTGGGGCAGTGGATAGAGCTCTGGCCTTGGAGTCAGGAGGGCCTGAGTTCAAATATGGCCTCACACACATAACACTCATTAGCTGTGTGACTCTGGGCAAGTCACTTAACCGAAATTGCCTCACCAAAAAAAAAAAGAAAGACTCGCAACAACCTTGGGAAGTAAGTGCTGGCATCTCAAAATTGAGGAAACTGAAGCAGAGGTGAAATTGTTGCAGTCTGGGGTACTGGGGACCCTGAAATGCAAGGGCACAAAGGATCTGCTTCAAAAGAATTCGACCACTCAAGCCTTCTTTCAATCAGAGTAGCAAGGTTTTATTATAATACGGGTTAGTCGAGCAAGATTCCTAGTAAATCTGCTACTGTGTCCCCAACAGGAACAACAAGACTCTTAAGAATCTGCGCAATTTAACGGGGGTAAGATTGGTACTTATATACAAGAGAATACAATGAGACGATCTGGATGGGATTAATGAGTGGTAAATAGCCTGGGGTGGACAATGAAAGTAGGTAAGTGGTTGGAGAGCCACAGTGAAAGGGCAGTTAAAAGGACTGTTGAGTATCTGGGTAGAAATGTGTGGGAAGTTCCCGGGCTGGGTTGCATTCAAAGACAAGGTCTTTTCCTTTTAGGGGTCCAGTGAGAATCCCATAATCCCCTCAAAATGACTTGCCCAGGGTCACACAGTTAAGTGACTGAAACCACAGAGGATCCCACCCTTGCTCTACTTATTTTGCCAACTATCTGAATAAAAATGATATTTAGGGGGAAAAATGACCCTGATAATGGTAGGAGCTAATTTTGAAAATTATAGTCTCCTGGCTGTTCCATGAATAAGACATACCATCTCTCTGCTTGGAGCTTTTATCTGGCTGTCCCCTGTTCCTAGAACACTCTCATTCCTCTGCTCCAACTATTGACCTCCTTAGCTTTCCTTAAGTTCCAACTAAAATCCTACCTTTTACAGGCAGTCTTTCCCAGCCCCTCTAAATTCCAATGCTTTCCCTCTTTTAATTATTTCCTATTTATCCTGGATATGGCTTACTTTGTATACATTTGTTTGCATATTGTCTCCCCCATTAGATTGTAGGCTCCTTGAGGTCAGGAAGTGTCTTCTGCCTTTTTTGTATCCTTCCCTGTCTCCTCCCGCCTCCCACTTAGCAAAGTGATTGACACATAGTAGACAAAGTAGAGGGCAGGGACTGTCTTTTGCCTCTTTTTGTGTCCCCAGCACTTAGTACAGTGGCTGGCACATAGTAGGTGCTTAAAATGTTGATTGCTTCCTATTTATCCAGCAAACAATGTGTGTGTGTGTGTGTGTGTGTGTGTGTGTGTGTGTGTGTGTGTGTGTATACATACTGTCTCCAACATCAGACTGTAATCTTGAGGTCAGGGGCTGTTTTTTGCCTCTTTTTGTATCCCCACAACTTAGCACAGTGACTGGCTCATAGCAGGTGCTTGGAAAATGTTTATTGATTATTTCTTATTTATCCTTATATATATTTTGCTTCCGGTATATACACAGATGTATACGTATACACACAGATGTATACGTATACACACATATATGTTTGCATGCTGTCTCTCCCATTATATTGTACGTTCCTTGAGGGCTCGGGCCATCTTTTGCTTCTTTTTGTATTACCAGCACTTAGGACAGTGACTGGCACATTGCAGACACAATAAATGTTCACTGATTGCCTGATTAAAAATAGCTTATAAGGAAGACAGGGAAGCAAAAATGAGCCAGGTTCCTGTGACCACTTGCACATTCGCTGGACTCAAGTCGCAGAGGCCAAACACGTGCCTGAGAAAAGGGGGCGGAGACAGCGTGGGAACGTAGACACGTCACAGAGGAGTAACGTTAGGCAACGTCACGCGCAGACCGGTGTGGGGCGGAGCCTCCGGGCCCAGGCAGGCATGAGGGCAAAGGAAAAGACTACCCCAACAACGCCAGGCTCCGCCCCGCCCACCCTCCTCACGGAAGTGAGGCCCGACCCTACGGCGCCCCCCCCGGCCCCGCTCCCCTCAGTCCCCTACCTTGCCCTCCGAGTTGTACTTGAACGGGGTCCGAGGGGTCGGGAAGCGCGTGCCGCCCCCGCCCCCGCCGACCCCCCCCCCCGCTACCCCCCCTTCCGCTTCCGCTCCCTTTTCCCCACAGTCGGAGTCGCTCTCCTCCCTCCCCGAGGTGGGGGTCGCCGGGGTGCCAGTGGGTCCTCAGACGCGTTCCCGTCACACGCCTCCACGCATTTGCGCGCGTATCTATCGCCCGCAGCCGCGCAGGCGCGGTCCCATCTCCACTTCCGCCTCCGGTCGCTTCCGCCCTCTACGGGGGCCGCCAGAGGAGGTGAGTGAAACGCGATGGGGCGTGCGCCCGGCGTCCGGCCGGGACCCTCCGGCTGTGTTGGGGCTCGATCGGGGTGGGGCCATACCCCCGGGCCGGAAGGCTCGCCGAGCCCCTGATTGATTTCCGCGACGCCGTGGGGTAGTGATACCATCCTGCAGCAGCTTCCCTGGCCTCAGCCTCAGTTTCCCCTCTTGTTCATTCATCCCCTTCACGGGTCAGGAGCCTCTGCTCGGGAGGACAGTTTTCGTAATCACGCGATTGAAAGCCGCAGGCCTCTTAGAGAACATCTTGTCCAATCTCCCGACTCTAGAAATGGGGAAACTGAGGCCCAGAGAAGGGGAGGTGGACACCAAGGGCCCGAAGCCTCGAGTTACATTGGCTTCTGAGGTGCTGAAAGGGGAAGAGCCTGGGGGAAGCAGGAAGAACCTGGAGGATTAGGGTACGGGACAAGGGCAGAGAGCAGACCCATTTTCTAGGACTTAAACTTGAATGAGGTAGGCCAGGGACACTTTGGTTGACTGACATCGCCCATGGTAATAATAGAGGTAGGAAGTATGACAACCCACATTTTTTGGAAGGTGTTGGAATCTTGAACAGTGTGGGTTGTAACCACTTTCTAGTGGCAGGACATTAGGCAGATCACTTCCTTTCAGCTTGAGTGCCTCAGTTTCCCAAGGAAACTGACTTACCATGAACAGAATTGAAACTTACATGTTCTTTCTAAATCCAATGTTTGTTTGTTTTTTTTTCATCTGTATCATGCTGTCTCTCAACATCTCTTTCATTCCTGTGCTTTTGAGTAAGTTGTCTTGCCTCATCTTCACTCCCCTCAAACACCTCCTCTTTTAAAATGATTCCTCTATTCCCTATCTTAAAACCCTTCAGGTTGGGTATTTTTCCTGATATCTAAGGTTATGCTGAGGCTTATAAAGAGTCATTTCACCATCCATCTGTTGGACTCTTAGACTCTGGGATCAGCTTGGTCACTCTTCTTTTCCATAGGGTATGCTACACACCTCAAGATGTGGGTCTCTGGCCTTTGGCCAGGAATAAGCCCCCAAGCTTCCCTGTTTTTAGAAGCCACTGTCTGAAGCAAGATCCCTCCTGGTCACTCTTCTCTCCAACCTTTCTTGACAATGTCTACCCTGATTCTCAACTTGGACTTTGGGGACTGTCCTCCCCCAAAGAAGGCAACTGAGGGAAACCACAAGCACCAGCGTTTCATCCAGCGACAACGGCGGTTACAGAGGAACTTTAAGCAGAAACAGATGCAGGTCCCTGCCAGGCCTTCAGGATCAGGGCATTCTAAACTCCAAAATAAGGGGGGGGCCCTTAGCACAAATAATAAACAGAAACTCCATCCCCTCCTGCAACCTATAGGGGAGACACCCAGTCAGAAAAATGGAATTGAGAAGCCCTTGAGTAGGAAAGTATCAACAGTGTCTTGGTTGACACCTGCTCCTTCACGGAAGACCAGTTCAGTATCTGTGGCATCTAAAGTAGATCTCCTGTCAGAGTTCCAGAGTGGCCTCCGCCCTCTCCCACCTGCCCGAACCCTCCCACCTGCATCAGAGAAGAGTTGCAACAAGAAAATGGTAGCTCTTGATTGTGAGATGGTGGGCACAGGGCCTAAAGGCCATACCAGTTCTTTGGCCCGATGTAGCATTGTAAGTTACAATGGTGACGTGTTATATGATGAATACATTCGTCCTCCCTGCAAAATTGTGGACTACCGGACCAAGTGGAGCGGTATCAAAAAGGAGCACATGGTTAATGCCACCCCTTTCAAGGCAGCCCGGAAAGAGGTGATGGGAATGGGGAAGGGCAGGGGTGTAGGATGTCTGGGGTCTTTCTCCCGAAAAGGGAATAGTCAGGGAAAAGGCTTGACAGAGGTTAGGTAAAGAAGAAGGCTTCTAGATAGGAAGGGCCTGGGCTTTGGTGAAAGGTAGTAGAGAGTGAGAGAGGAGGTAGCATCTTAATTAACATATGCTGAGCACAGAGCCCTGTTTTGGAACTAGATCCCTAAGACAGGGTAACCCTACTTCCCGGTTTCCCACCAAGACTTGGACAGAGACTAGAGCAAAGGATCAAGTTGTACAGAGATATTTAAATATTATGGGGGAAGGAGGGATGTCAATTTGGGAAGGCTTCCTGAACTAGGAGAAAAATGTAGAATAATTTTGGGAGAGAGGACAAACGATGAAAGGAATAATAATGCGGAATTTAGGTGATGGAATGTTCCTAGGTGCTTTTTTCTCAGTCCTGTGGCTAGTCTCAGTCACAATGCAGAATTGGGTGATGAGATGCTCTTGAATGATCCCTTCTCACTCCCATCACTGCACTCAGGCCTTGGACTGCTTTTCCCTATCACATAGAGGAGGGATCTAAGAGTACCTTTGGAGGAAGGTGAATGCATCCAATTTTCAAATGCTCAGTGGCTGGCATCACTTGGCTAGAAGTCATACAAGAATGTCAGAACTGGTTGGAAACTTTAGGAAGTATCTAGGCCAACACCATAATTTTACAGATGAGGAAATGGAGGTTCAGAGAAGTAAAGTCACACAGTTATTCAAGGCAAAACTAAAACTGGAACGCAAAACTAGGGCTTACAGTCCAGCATTCATACCACTCTGTGGGCTTCGTGCTTCCTGGCTTCCATCATAGGACCTGTTTCTGTATTACATCAGCATTGTACTGTCCAAGGTAGTCCTTAATTTGTGAGTATTCAAATTGAATACCTCTTGTCATACCCAACTGTATCAGACACAGTAAGAACTTAGTCTTTGGCTGCAGTAATTTTCAGAAACCTGCAGGTGGTGCCCTTGGGCCAGTTCTCTCTGCTGTTCTAAGGTACTTGGTATGTTGTGCCTTTTTATTTGTGCCCATATAGCCTGTCCCATAAGCTCACAGTGTACAGAATCCTGTTCTGATCTCCAAGACTGACCCAGGTAGAGGGGAGAGAATCCCTGCTGTTGGTGAAGCTGTCTCTGTCTAGTCGGGGAATACTAGAAGCCAGGGGCTAGAGTTGAAAGGGATCTTAGAGACAATCTAGCTGAACCTTATTTTAGTGATTGAGGTCCCAAGAAAGGAAATGATTTGCTTCTAGTTACACAGATGGTAAGTGGCAAAGTCAGAATTCAAATCCAGGTCTTTTGCTCTAGGGCTCTTTCCGGTACTCTGTTTCCTCTCTGGTTTATGCCAATACAGTGTAGTGTAAATGGAAATATGTAGGGGAAATTCCAAATAAAGTCATAATTGGTTGAGTTAGGTCAAGAGACGGTTTCCTGAACTCTGGAAAGGGTTTAGAAGAAGGAGAATGTAGCAGGATACAAAAGAAGGAGAAGCGTCCCAGGTAGTGAGGACTTGTAAAGCTCGAGGTAGTCGAGCTGAATTGGAGTCCTGAGCTCACCCTGGGGAGATTGGAAGAAATAAGGGTGATAGCTAGTTGTTGCTAGAAAGGAGGAGCATGAATACTTGGCCTGGGTTGAGTTATCTTCAGAAAGCATTTGCTCCTTGCCTTTTTATGGGTAGCCATATGCTGGGTGGCATACAAACTGATGGAATTAATGCCTCCATCAGAACATATCCAACCATGAGTGCTGTCCCTCGCAGAGTAGACTGCCTCAGGAGGCCATGTGCCTATTCCAGTCACACTGCCCCTGCCTGAGATATTCTGAGGACTGAGCTGGGGAATTACCTTCAGAGCAGGGATTCTTCACTTTTCATTATGGACTCTTTTGGCAGTCTGATGGCCCTGCTCAGAATAATGTGTTTAAATGTTATATGCCAAGAAAACCAATTATGTTGAAATACAGTTCTCAAAGTATTTTTTAAAAAAATTCATGGACTCCAGCTTAAGAACCTTCACTTTATAGCTTGTAAGCTATTCTTTTGACCCTCAGAGTAGTGGCATATAATCTTTTGAAGGTAATTTTGACTTTTTGAAATAGCCAGAAGTCATTTGGAGCCAAGTGTGGCAATAAAATCGAGTGATAACACTAGGAAGATGCAGTCTTTAATTTTTAGAAGGAGAGTTATGATTATAATATTGTGAGACCGATCGTTTTTTTAAGGGAGGCAGTGTTAATACAGTATAGTGGAAAGAGCACTGACCCTGGATTCAGAGAACCTTGGTTCAAATCCCACCTTTTACTTTGTAACCTGGGAAAAAATTATTTAACCTGGGCCTTGATTTCCTCATCTATAACATGAAGAGGTTGGATTAGATAGCCTCTAAAGTCCTTTTCAGCTCTAAATCTGTGATCTTTTTTTGTTTGTTTGTTTTTTGCCTTTTTGGTGAGGCAATCGGGGTTAAGTGACTTGCCCAGGGTCACACAGCTAGTAAGTGTCTTGTGTCTGAGGTCAAATTTGAACTCAGGTCCTCCTGACTCCAAGGCCAGAGCTTTATCCACTACAGCACCTAAATTTGTGATCTTCTTATGAGGCATATATGATAGGGGTCATAGGAGTTGGTCTAGTGGAAAGAATATTAAATATAGAGTCACGAGCCTAGATTCTAATCCCATCTTTGTCTTGGATTAGCATTGTGACCCTGGTTAAGTCATTTCTTAAGGCCTCAGTTCCATTATCTACAAAATTAGGGTGACAGATCAAGGTCATCAGCACTAAAATCATTGAGTATTCTGTTCTAAGACAAACCTAGCAGTCCAGTAGAAACTTAGACAACTTTACACATTGGGAATGAGTACAGTTTGGGGGTAAGGGTAAGTAAGTTTATCATTGGGTTGGAGAGTTGGTGGGGGGGAAGGGAGAATCAACCATTCTATTTCTAGTTCCAGATAGAGTAGAGCAAGAGAAATCACCTGCTCTCATCTAATTAAGCTAGGCGAGAGGTGCCTTGAAGGAGGGGAATTAGAGAATTTAGAAACAGTTTGACTATTAGGAGAAAGATAGTTTGTGGAGATGTGGAGATGGCTTTCGAGAGCAGTTTGAGCGGGACACACTGAGACACAGTGAGAGGCACACACTGGACAAAGAGGATATGGAAGGGGTGTATCAGCTAAGCAGGTTTGTGTTGCATTTGTACATGGAGGAGAGACTTCAACCACCCTTCCTCCCTGAATTTCAGATCTTGAAAATACTCCTTGGCAAGATTGTAGTGGGCCATGCCATCCACAATGACTTCAAAGCCCTCCATTACTTTCACCCCAAGCCCCTTACCCGAGACACTTCCAGAATCCCTATCCTTAATTCCCGGGCTGGCTTCCCTGAGAATGAGTCAATCTCTTTGAAGCGTCTGACCAAGCAGCTGCTCCATCAGGACATTCAGGTAAGTGACTGGGGGTGGGTGAATATTTTTCCAAGCTCCAGAAAGCATCTCTAAGCCTCTCCTTCATATACTAATGCCATCTCCACCCCCTATCCCCCCAGTTTAGAGTTCTGATGGTCCTTTCAGCCCTCTTTTTCCTGGATTAAGCCACCTCAACTCTGACTGACTGTGTGTTTCTAGTGTGGAGGTCTAATAGGGATAGTCCTCGACTTAAAGGCAAGGCAACTGGGCTCTAGCCCTAGCCTTGCTTCTAATTTGCTTATATGTGACCTTTCTCAACTCCCCTGCCTTCTCTGGCCTCATTTTCTCCATCTGCAAATGAGGATAATAATATCTTCTCATTTTTTCACAGCTTGATTTTGGGAATAAACTGATGACGGTAACCATAAGTAGATAGGCCCTGGAATTGAGTTTGGCTAAGAGGAGAAGGGTAGACCTTCATCTAAAGAATAGTCATAACAAGTACAAACAAAGATATGACTTACCTATACCAACCTCGGGGAAGTACCAATCTCTCCCAGAATTCAGCCTATTTCCTGAGTCACATAGAAAAGGGAAAAAGGACTGAGAGCAGGAACCCAGAGAAGAAATGACTGAGGGCTAATGGTGTCCTAGACTCCAGTGATTTGAAGGGCAGTTCTCTGAAAGTAGAGGATAGGTTTTATCAGTACAGAATGCAGAATAAAATGGAATTAGCGGGCATTCTATAGGAGGGACAGAGATTACACAATAATATGCATTTCCCAAAGGTGAAACTCTAAAATGAAGAGATGAAAGGAATTCACAATAGGGGCTTTATTTCCAGAGAGGTCCGACTATCAAAGGAGAGACAGAGATGGGTTTTTGGTTTATTTTTTAAAAACCTATGATATCATTTTGGTGATGGAACTCCTTCTACAAAATGCAGATCAGTAGCTGTTCTGCTTGGGGCAATAAGAGATTAAATTGATCTCCCTAGAGTCACATAACCAGTAAGTGTCAAAGATGTGACCTGAACCAGGTTCTTCCTGATTCGGATGCTAGCCCTCCATCTACTACACCACTTAATCTCCTTGTAGCTAAAGGGTACAACTTAGATCACTTATTAAGTGCCAGGTAGAATTAAGATTGAGAGAAAGGAGTTGACACATAGAGAAATAAAGAGAAAATGGAGAAGCAGCACCTTATAAGCCTCACTCTCATCCCTTCTTCCCTTAGGTAGGGAAGAGCGGGCATTCCTCAGTTGAAGATGCCAAGGCAACCATGGACCTCTACAAGTTGGTGGAAGTTGAGTGGGAGCAGCAGCTGGCCCGATCTCCTCCCTCTCAGGAATAGGGGAAGTGGGGTTGTGAGACTGGTAGTCATTGCAGAGAGAAGGCATCAAACTGAGGGTAAACAGCTACCCCAGGGGGAGCAGACTATCCAACAGCCCAAAACTTAGGCTGGAGCTGTTGGGAAATGAGTCTAACCCAGACCGAATCTCTCCAACCATAGACCATTGAAATTTTTACCACAGGTATTGTGTCCTACTTGTCTAGAGTGTTTCCCCTCTCAGTCCCAGTGAAGGGGTGTGGGGTAAGGGGAAGCTCCCTACGTTGAAAGCCAGCCCCTTGCTACCCACCCCTTAGCATTGGTGTTTTAGGCTGGTCACCAGTCCCAGCATTCTTTGCTTTAGCCAGGCAGCTTGGCTAACAGAACAATGCTGGGATGTGTAGTTTCCCCAATCTCCCCTAAAGCATTATGGCTGTGATTAAGTACTTTTGTCCCAAAGTACCATCAGCTAATACCACTTTTAGCCCAGGACCCTCTTCTCCCCAGCTTTGATACCTGAAGGAGCCACCTCTGATTATCAGTTGATTCCCTGTTTTTTCACTGGGTAATGGGAAGCAAGAAAATCAACTTTTTCATGGTTACATTTTAAAAAAATACCCTCTTTCCTAAGGGGAAGAGGTATTTATTTGAGTCCCAGGTGCCTGCTGAGAAAGCATTTATGTTTTCAATGCTCCCTCCTTCATGTTAAGTGAAGCCTCTAAATGTCCAAGTTACTGCCTTGTAAACTCACAAAGGAATTTTTATAAAGGAAGAAGTATTGTTTTTTGCTACTCATTAAACAGATTCAGGACAGTGTATTTTGTAAAAGAATGTATAATATGGGCTAGCTACAAGTAATTCAGTAAAGGAGTTTCCTGGTTTGTGAATTTGAAAAGCCCTGAACAGCGCCCTGTTTGTGGATAAGGCCAATCACACAATCTCCTCTTCACAAACATTTACTAAGGATCTTCAGGTTGCTATTCTGAGCCCTATTGTTCACAACTCTGCTGCATATCCCCACTCGTAAATCAGATGTATTGTGGATAATAATGCAGCAGGATACATAGAATGGCTAGAAGTGTGGCATCTCAAAGTCAGTACATGTGCACGTTTAGATGGTATTTCTCTTAGCAGAGACTATGTCTGAGTGCTCTGCCGCAATCCCATCAAGTCTGTAATTTTGTGTTCAATTTTAAACATACCCCGTTTTTAGGAGGGATATTGATAAGCTTGGAGCTGGTACTGAGGGGGCTTAAAACCATGTCATTAGAGGCAAGGTTTTTCATGTGAAAAAGAATAAATCTTATTTTGCCTCACTCCATTGGTTAGAGCTAAAAAGTTACCCAGAGACAGATTTCATCTTAATATGAGAAGGAATTGGAGCTGGAAGGGACCTTAGAAATCACTCCCTTGGGGGCAGTTTGGTGGCGCAGTGGATAGAGCACTGGCCCTGAAGTCAGGAGGACCTGAGTTCAAATTCGGCCTCAGACTGAACACTTGACACTTACTAGCTGTGTGACCCTGGGCAAGTCACTTAACCCCAACTGCCTAAGCGCAAAAAAAAAAAAAAAAAATCACTCCCTTGTTTCTCAGATGAGGACAGGGTTAACTGACCTGCCCAGGGTAACACAAGAAGTAAGCTGCAGAGCTGATGTTTGAATTCAGGTCTCTTTTTCCAAATTGGAGGTCTTCCCCAATCTGTGTGTGTGAGCAGAGGCTGAATGACTGCCTTTGGACACATAAATGGGATATATGTTTCCAGGGAGGGTTGGACTGCGTGACCTTTGAAATCCTTTGCAGTTCTGAGGTTAAATAATTCTATAAAATGGATCATTTGGTGCAAGAAAAGGGGATAAATGGATAAAAAAAAGGGTATTCTGAAGCAACTGCAGGCTAGTTTTTCAGTAAACACCAGCTCTGTTCAGCGCGGAAACCCAAAGGGTTTTCTTTCTTCCCTTTCAATCTGGGTGTGCAGTTTGTATTCACTTTGGCCGTGCAGGCATTTTATTATCTACACAAAAACCCAGGTCCATAGTTCTGTATTCACTGCCTTGCCTCTGGTGACCAGAGCTACCTCTTTGGCTGCTATCAGAAAAGAAGAGCTTCACCACAATAACATCTCTTCCTTTAGCCCAGCCAGGCCCCAAGCGTTAGCTCATTGACTCCTTCCTAACATGGTCTATGTGCACAGGCAGCCAGCAAGGCCTGAGCAAGTTGGTTCCTGTCAAGCCTAGCAGGCATTAATGTCAGTGTTGGCACAGAAGGAGTGACACTGTGCCTGGTCCATGAACAGAGAGAACCAGGCAGTCTGTGAAGTCTGCATAACCTGAACAAGGGTAACCTATGTTGGCCACATCAAGAATCAGAATTGGACACGAAAACAGAATTAAGTTACAAATATCCATCAAGGTCAGTGAAGAAGAAAAACTACTAGCAAACTCATGGAATCTGGGTCCTGTTGACCAGGTAACTATTGACTAAAATTCAAATCTTTTGCCTTTATGGGAACTATTTATGAAAACAGTGACATGGTCACTGCGGGGAAAAGACCAGACTCCAGCTTATACATGTGAATTCATAGTACATATATCTAGCCTTACTGAAATCAGTACCTGTAATTCTCTACTAGATTATAAACTCCTCTAAGGCAAGAAACAGTGTATTTACCATATTGGTCCAATTTGAGCAAAACCTGAGTGTCCACCAGATGTTATTTTTCAGCGTGTACTTAGATGTCTTCTTTTTGAGATTTCATTTGAGTGGTGAATTTTAACATTTAGTTTAATATAAGTGACTGAGACTGGTTCAGAATTGTGAATTCATTGTTTTAGAGATGTCTGAGTGAGAAAACTCCCATTACCGATGCAGATAACCAACTGCTCCGCAATGTATAGTCTCAGAGAGTTTCCTGGAAGCACTGAGCTTTTAAGTGATTTTGTCCAGTCAATCGTTACTTGTCAGAGTTGGATTCAAACCCAGATCTTCCTGATTCTAAGGTAACTATCTACTGTGCTTCTCAAACAAATGACAACAGTTGACAATAGAACACTACCATGATTAATGAATGTGTTAGTGTCACAGAATTTCAGAGTTGTAAGGGATCTTAGAAATGAGATTAGTCCGTCCTATACCAAAAGGATTCCTGTACAACATATCAAATAAGTGGTCATCAAACATTTGTTTGAAGACCTCAAATGAAGAGGAACCTACAGACATTCTGAGCCCATTTCACTTTTGAATTATTTGACTTACTAGAAAAGCTTTACTCAAATTAAAGCCAAATCCACCTTATTGCAACTTCCATCCATGGCTCCAAGTTCTGTCCTCTAGTGCCAAGCAGATCAAGTCTAGTTCACTTTTCACAAAGCCCTTCAAATATTGGAATACAACTTCAGTGTGTCTTTTCTAAGCTAGTTTGGCTCCTTCCATCGTATGGCAGGAACTTGAAGACCTTCACCTTCCTTGTCACCATATTCTGGACATGCTCCAATTTATCATTGTCCTAACTCAAATGTGTGCAGGACTGAAACCGTACTCCCACTGTGGTCTGACCAATGAAGAATGTAATAGCAACCATGTTCTTGGATACTGCCTCTCATTGTGTAGCCTAAGATCACATTAGCTTTCCTAGGCTGCCATGTGGACTCCTATTGAGGCCTGTGACCCACTAAAACCTCTACACCTTATTAACTGGACTCTCTAACACCCATTTTGTACTTGTGATAGTGACTTTATGAAATCGAGCATGACTTTACATTTATCCTTGTGACTTTCATCATATTTGCTTTGACTCGGTGTTCTAGCTCGCCTTAAGATCTTTTTACATTCTTATATATCTGAAGATTGGAAAAGCATGCCTCCCATATCTGTGCAAGACATCAAGATGCACAGGACCCAGCACAGATCCCACAAGGAACCTTCCAAGTTGACATTGGATCATTAATGATTACACTTTGAACCTAGCCAATCATTTCAGAATCCACTTAATTGTAATATTATCTAGCCCACATTTTGCCATCTTTTCCACAACAATAACATGTGAGACCTTATCAAATGCTTTGCTAAAATCTTAGTAAACCAGATTATTCTCCTGATGTACAGTAATTCTGTCAAAAAATGAAAATAAGCCGATTTTTGATGGTTATTTGGAATCTGATCACTTTCTTTTTTAGATATTCACATCTCTTTAACGTGTTCTTGAGTCCCCACAGAAATCAAAGTCAAACTATTTGGTTGTTTTTTGTAGTTTCCATTTTCTTCCCTTTTTTTTGAAAATTTAAACACCCTTCTACCTTTTTCTGTTCCTGAGTTCTCCCAAAAACTTTCAAAGACTATGAGATGGTGGCTCACTGTCTGCCAGTTCTTTCAGTTCTTGAGCATCTGATTTGTCTGGGACAAGTAAGTGAATTGAATTCATCAAGGGCAACCAAGTATCCTCACAGCAGAAACAGAATTGAATTTGGAGTTGGGAAACCTGTTTTCAAATCCCAGTTCTACTCTTTATTGTCTGTAGGGCCATGAGCAAGTCATTCATTTCAGGATCTCAGTTTCCTCAACTGTAAAATGAGGGGATTGGACTAGATAATCTGAAATATCCCTTTTAGTCTAAATCCTGTATTTCTATAATGTGTCTAATAATAATAGTAACATACTTTAAAGTTTGCAAAGCTCACTACATATATTTTCTCATTGTCTAATATATGTTGTAGCTAAAATACAACTGACTGATGTAGATTACAGGATTTAGGAGTTGAATTTAAAGATTACTTATCTATAAAATGAGAAAGTTGGTCCATATGACCTCTGGTCATCTGTGGTCTGCCTATAATATCAATGAAATGAGAATGGAATTTGAAATTAGGGGACCTGGTTAAAATCCTTTGCTACTTAAAACTTGGACCGCTAGGTGGCGCAGTGGATAGAGCACCTGACCTGGAATCGGGAAGACCTGAGTTCAAATGTGACCTCAGAACTAGCTGTGTGAGCCTGGGCAAGTTGCTTAACCAGGTGTCCCTCAGTTTCCTCATCTGTCAAATGAGCTAGAGAAGGAAATGGCAGAGAGATAGATAGTTAAACATTGTTCTTTAAAAGAACTCTGATCAACTCAATGTCCAGTCAGGCTTCCAGAGGACTCATGATGGAATATGCTGCCCTCCTATCTCCAGCATTTTTTTCCTTTTTTGGGCCAACTTTGACAATCTGAGGGATAGATTGAACCTTAAGAGTTGCTTTAATATGCATTTCTCTAATTAGTGATTTAAAGCATTTTTATTTTCATATGGCTATTGGTGGCTGTGATTTCTTCCTCTGAAAACTGCTTATCATTGACCTTTTAGAAATTGGGGAATGGCTCTTATTCTTATAAATTTGAATCATTTCTCTGTTTATCTTAGAAATGAGACTTCTATCAGATAAACTTGCTGCAAGATTTCCCCCATCTATCTGTTCCTCTTCTAATTTTAGCTTAATTGGTTCTGTTTGTTCAAGAACTTTAATTTTATGTAATCAGAATTGTCCAAATTGCGTTCTGTGATCCTTTCCCTTGTTTGGTTATGAACTCTTTTCCTATCCATGGATCTATGTCAGAATTCTTTCCACTGAACTATAAGGCCTAATTCAACCCCCTCATTTCACAGATGAAGAAATTGAGGTGGAATGATTTGCCCAAGGTATTGAGTGGCACAGCTGGAACTAGAATCCAGGTCTTTGACTTCTAGTCAAAGTTAAGTGTCTTTAACAAAACACCATAGATCATTAGGAATGCAAGTGAGCAGCAGACACCATATAACTAGTTTGTTGTCCATGTAAAGCATGTTGGATTCACTATTTGGGTTTATGCGTCAGGGTATTTCACAGTCTAGGTGTTTGTGGTACAAAAACCCCTGGGGGACTACA